CATCACTGGACAGATGATACAATACAATACACGTACCTCTTTATACTTATTTAGAGAAACAAAAGAGTTTGTTATTATTAATGGAGAAAAGATTGGACATTTTTCTTGTACGTATGAATTTTTGCTCAAAATAAGGCGCCGCACCTTTGATAAGTGGATAGCCAAATCCGAGTCCATTGAAGTATGGTTCAGGATTGACATCGTCACCTCCTTGTGGGACGCACACAAACTCAAGTCGACGAGCACTCAGACAGACACGCGGACCAGCAAGCGTGCACTCATGCACAGACTTGGGAAACGGACTCAGGCCACCGATCGGACTGAGCCCCGCTATCGAACTTATACTTGAGTTGTTCCCTTATTTCTCGAAGTGGGAGCTAGCTCAGTGGATTGAAGTGCAGATTGTTAAGCGACAGACTCAAGGATCGAATCTGCCTAACCCCTGAGCGAGCTCTTTTTGTAGGCAACGAGCTGAAGTACATTCTTACCCCGGATTCGGTAGGCCGGGACTCGAACCTACGACCTCATATTCAGAATTAATTGTAGACTGCCCCGTTGAAACGAGGCTTGACACTTGGCATGTTAGGGTAATTAGCTGTTAGATTTTTTTAGGTTTTTTTTTTTTTTATTTCGATGAATCTGCCCCATAATCCAGGGCGGATTCATTCCGAAGTAGTCTTAGACTTTCCACAGTAGTAGCAAAAACTTTAGGCGAGGATGGTCTGTGCGTGCCTCACGTGCGGTAGACGAGGCGCAGCGAAAAGCAAGATAGCATCGCGCAGAGGAAGAGAAGAACGAGCGAGGAAAAAAGGTGGTCGCGCAGAAAGAGGAAGGTGCGTGAAGAAGAAGAGAAAGAAGAAGGAGAGGAGAAGAGGAAGGGAGGAGATGAGAAGAACACATACCTCGCCTGCATCCGCTGCTTAACATAAGCAATGCTGGGGACTTGCGGGAGGCGACCGATGAAGAAACGGGGAGCAAAGGAGATAGCGAGGTGGGAGCAGGAGAAGACGGCGCGGAGGAAAGGAGGAATTCGAGATTTGGAGATAGCAACGGAAGAAGAGAATAGCGACATAGCGTAGGGAGAAGAAAGCAGAAGGAAGGAAAGAGAGTAGAAAAAGGGAGACGAAGTAGAAGGAAGAAGGAGAAGAAAAAGAAGAAGAAGGGGCAGGAGGATTACGAAGGATGACTTACCTGTCCTCCACCCGGCTCATAGGATGCGATGTCTGTCGTGCCCCGTACTATGATCGTGGTATACTGTACACCGTGACAGATCGTCGAGGGGAACGAGGAGCGGCCAAGTCTACGATGAAGTGTCAACAATGACGAGGGGGAGAAATCACACGGCTTACCTCATGGTACTTCCATCGATAGGAAAAATAACTAAATAACTAAATAAATAAATAAAAATCGAACGAATCTACCACTAGAATGTGGAAATATTCACTACTATATGTACGTGCGTGTGTGTGAAAGTGTGAGAGAGAGAAAGAGAGTACTACGATCGATTCGTTGGGTTACGTACCTGGCATTAGGAAAGTCGCCGAGGCCGCGGCTGGCTTCGCGCAACTTCCAGCGAAAGGATGAGCGAAATCGATCGAGTCTCCCACCAGAACGTCGAAATATTCACTACTACACGAGTGTGTGTGTGTGTGTATGTATGTGTGTGTATGTGTGTGTATGTGTGTGTATGTGTGTGAGTGTGAGTGTGAGAGAGAGAGAGAAAGAGAGAGATTTGTAACTTTGGGATGTTGACGACATTGGGATACAAAATCGACTTTGGGATTGAGACATCGACGAGGGACTATTTGGGATCGATACCAGTGACACTTGTGTAATGACATTCCCATCTTCTCCCTCCTTATCGTCTAATCCCCCTCCTCTTCGTTTGTGGATGTTTTGGGCTGGTGCATTCTTCCTCTGTGAGCGTCAGACCCCTTTACACCTTGTGACGATGATGATGTATGTCTGGTCTGCATTGCAACATTGATAGGGTTGATCATTGGTATTCTAGCATTCCGCTGCGCTATTTTGTACTATGTGAGAGAAGTCGGTCCTTGTTGTGGTCTGCACCATTACGGTACGCAACATCGCTATAAGGAGTTTAGAGTAGCATTGGAGAGAGAGAGAGATGTGGGGGAGACCAGAGAGAGACTTACCTATGGTGCCATAGCTCAAGCTTCGTCTTCGAGGTACCTGCATCAAGACGCCACCTTCAGAGGTTAGCACCTGGTACACGAAGAGAGAAAGATTATGTGTGAGAGAGAGGAAGAAGAGGGAGAGGGAAAGGAAATGAAGGAGAGGAGCGCATAGTAGTTCCTGGGTGCACGTGGCATCTGTGAGTGGGGGATCGAGGTTGTGAGTGATACGAGAGACATACCTGGTGCTTGAGGCGAACAACATTGGTCAAAGTCTACTCTTACTTGGGAAGTTGTTGACGTCATCAGCGACATTGTAGTCTAGGCTAGATAGGATCTGTCATTCGTAGTCTGGGCGCTAAGCGCCAGATAGGATACCAACATTGGTTCTTCGTTGATGATGGTGAGACTATTCTAGCATTGTCAATTATGAGCTTTTGTTGTGTTCTTATTTGGTGTGACCCGTGTTGGAATTCATCTTTTGGTTCGAGGTCACGACCATCTGGACACATGTGTATGATGTTGTTTGATGTCTGAAGTTCGCTATCACTCATCTTCCCTGTTACTACTACTACTACTGCTACTATTATTATTATTATTATTACTTTTATTATTATTATTATTTTCGTTTGTTTTTACTATTTGCAGATAAAGTCTGCCCCGTGATCACTTCACAAACATGAGGAAACAGGCGGCATTATAGGGTAGGTTGGGTAGGATCTGCGACCTGTAGTCTGGGCGCTGAGCGTCAGGTAGGATGACGACACTGGTTCTGGGTTAATGATGATGAGGCTATTGCCACATTGCCACTTATGAGTTTTTACTACGCTCTTATTTAGTGGGAATCGTAATGCGATTTTTTTGTTTGGTTCGAGGTCACGACTAGCTGGTCACATCTGTATGATGCAGTTTGATTTCTGAAGTTCGACATCGCCCATTTTCCTTGC